GGTTCCTAAAGGTAGTAAGAACATCTGCATGTCTTTTATACTTGCTTTGAAATCCACTTCTAATTCTAATTAGTATTTTGATAGTGGCTGTTCTCGCCACATGACAGGTCTTAAGTCTAATTTGACTAATATTTCACCTCTTCCTTCTAGTACTGTAACCTTTGGTGACGGTGCTAAGAAGAAAGTTCTTGGCATTGGCTATTTGAATGTTCCTGGCTTGCCTAAGCTTCAGAATGTTCTTCTTGTTCGAAACTTGAAAGCAAATCTTCAGAGTATTAGTCAGTTGTGTGATCAGGGTCTTGATGTGAACTTCACAAATCAGAATTTCTAGTTTCTGATCAAGAGAGCAATCGTGTTCTTACTAGCACTAGGTCTAGGGATAATTGTTACCTTGTTGAACTTGAGCTAAAGTGAAATAAAGCCAGTGTAGACACAATTGAACTCTGGCATCAGAAATTAGGTCATATTAATTATCTTCACTTACTTGAATTGTCTTCTATAGGTGTTGTTCGTGGCTTGCCTAAACTTAAAAAGAAAGAACAATGTGTCTGCGGTTCGTGCCAGATGGGCACGCAGAAAAAGACCTCTCACAATAGGATGACTGAGGTTAGTACGAGCAAGGAGATGATGCACATGGACCTAATGGGACCAATCCAAGTGGAAAGCTATAGTGGTAAGAAGTATATTCTTATGTGTATGGATGACTTTTCTTGATTTTCTTGGGTTTATTTCCTAAAAAAGTAAATCCGACGCACTTGAAGCTTTTAAAAAACTTGTGTTGAAACTTGAGAATGAGAAAATGACTAACCTTGTTGCAATCAGAAGTGATAATGGTAAGGAAATTTAAAACTGTGGGTTTGAATCTTATTGTGAATCATGAGGCATATTTCACCAGTTTTCATCTCCTATCACTCTGCAACAAAATGGAGTCGTTGAACGTAAGAACTTGACTCTACAGGAAATGGCTAGAGTGATGCTCGTTTCACAAGGGATGTCCTTGAGATGGTGGGCTGAAGCCGTCAACACGGCATGTTATATTACTAACCGTGTGTATTGCAGGAGAGGTACGGGGCTCACATCATATGAACTTTGTAAAGGTAAAGCTCCTAGTGTGAAATAATTTCATGTATTTGGATGTCGTTGTTACATCTACAATGACAGGGAACATTTGGGTAAGTTTGAATCTAAGAGTGACATTGGTCAATTCTTTGGGTACTCCACTAACAGTCGTGCATTTCGTGTGTACAACTTACGTACTGAAGTTGTCATGGAGTCGATTAACGTTGCTTTTGATGATATGTCTGGCTGTGTTCTTACACCTGATGTGTCCAAAGTTGATGTGTCTGATGGTAAAAAGTTTTCAAATTCTGAAACTGAAAATGTCTTGAATGATGTTAAAACTGAAACTTCTAACTATGATGAAGGTGTTTACGATAATGAATATGTTGATTATGATGTTCCCACATCCTCCAGAAATCTGGCTGAATCTAGGCGAGATCCTCCCGCCAAAATTCAGAAAGATCATCCTAAGGATCAAATTATAGGAGGAATTTTTGAACGAAATATAAGAGGTGTAAAACCTGATTTTCGTAAGATAGCTGGTTTGTGTCATTTTGCGTGTTACGTGTCTATTGGAACCAAAAAATGCTAAAAAAGCCTTATGCGATGATTTTTGGGTGCAAGCTATGCATGAGGAACTTGAACAGTTTGTTATAAATAATGTGTGGGAACTTGTACCTAGCCCTCTGATTCAAACGGCATTGGAACTAGAGATGTCAATGGGGAATTCCCCATCGGGTTCTGCCCCCCCATACCCGGCCCCGAGTTGGGGAAATCTCTCCCATGGGGATCCCCGAAACTGCTCATGGGGATGATTTTTCCCCCATACCCGACTCCAATAGGGAATCGGGTCCCCGTCGGGGCCCCATACCCGCGAAATTAAGTTCACAGACTAGCTGATAATGGAGTCTAACAGAGTTACAATCCAACAGAGTTACAAGTTCATCCAGAATTACAATCCAACAGAGTCAAGTAGCCACTAGCCAACAGGCCCAACACAGGCATAACAAGACAAATATCCAAAAACATGCCACCATTACAAGTTCATGGCCTCATAGGCTGATGGCAGACAATGACACACGCTAAATTAAGACAGTACTTAGAATAAATAAAAAGTGCAGTCCAACACTCCAGCAACCGACCAACCAGTAGTCCACTATCCACCACTCCAGTCTCCAGTCCAGCTCCAGCACGGCAGCAACAGCATGCAACTTGTCTCAGAATAGTGCGAGCCCCTATATGGAGGAACATTCAAGCATATGCAAATTAGTCATGTATTTGAAAAAAGTGAAACTGAATAAGTACAGGAAACAAAAGCTTGTAGTGTTGTGTTAGATAAATATACCTCCATTCCATCTTGAATCTCTTGAAGACAACTCCAAAAGCTTGCATCATTGTCTTCATTATCATCTACAAAACATGCAGACAAGAATTATTTTGTAGCTATGGCAGTGGAAAGATTGAATGAGTACATGTGATACAACATATAATTATACCTTGATACTTATTTCGTAGCCAATTTTGGGAACACATCAATGCCTCCAAAATATCTGGAGTAAGCCTGCTACGGTGATCACTAAGAACCCTTCCACTAGTGCTAAAAGCAGATTCTGATGCAACTGTGCTAACAGGAACAGCAAATAAGTCACGTGCAATCTTTCTCAGTGTACGATAGCGTGTCCCACCAATCACCTTCCACCAATCAAGAATCTGAAAGTTTTCTGTTGCTATTGAGACCAGCTCATCCTCCAAGTATCTGTCCAGCTCTGATTTTAAATTTGCCATTGTTGGCCTTCTAGTGGCAACACGTGCACTGATGCTAGACAATACATCAGAACTAGCAAGTGGAGGAGCAGATGACTCTGTGTTATCTCCATCCTCTTCCAATTCGTATCCTTTCATCAAATCACAAAGAGAATCTGTAATTTCTCGAACCTGCTCTGCACACACTTCAGAATCCTCCCCAGTTATTGACTCAATGAACCCAAGAAGGTAATCGGTCTTAAACCGAGGATCAAGAATAGTTGCTATTCCCATTATTCCTTGAATCTCTATCCAATACTTATCAAACTTCTCAATCATGTTAGCTGACATTTGCTCTATTATGGGGTTACCACATACAGACCACTGCCTCATTTGAACTTTGGCTTCACAAATTTTAAGGAGTTGAACATTTGCAGTCACATAATTAGTTCCAGAAAATACTGCAGTAATATCATTGAACATCTTAAGCCTCTGAACCACCTCTCTAGCAAAAGCCCAATCATCCATACTTGGAGCACAATCATAAAGCTTATCAACACGACTTGCACGGTTGAAAACAGCCACATAATTTAATGCAACACTAAGCATCTTATATGTAGAGTTCCATCTAGTTTTGCAATCAAGGCCTAACTTGTTCTCAATAGGGACTTTGACATATTTAGCTATTTCTGCAAATTTTTCAACCCTTTTAGGTGTGGCTGTCCAAAAGGCAACACTATCACGGATTTTTGAGATTGCAGGTTGTATCACCTCTAACCCATCCTTAACAATCAAATTGAGAATATGTGCAGCACACCGCATATGCAACAGTTTCCCTTCCAGCATAAGTTTTTCTTTACCGAGCTTCTTGATAAGGTCAGTAATTACCTTATCATTTGTAGTGCAATTGTCAAGCGTGATAGTTGAGACCTTCTCATCTAGATTCCATTCAACCAAAGCGTCGTACAACACATCACAAATGATTTCAGCTGTATGTGGAGCTGGCACATATATAAACCTACATGTATGAACAAATGCATGTTACAGATTGACAAATAATTGACACAAATAATCTAAATAAAAGTAGAGACTTGCAGCAAGTGGCTACCTCATGATAATGTTTCTAAGCATCCAAGAATCATCAATGAAATGGGCTGTCACAGCCATGTAACCTCTTTTCTGGTTATCAGAGGTCCACATGTCTGTAGTAATAGCCACTTTTGACTTAGTTGCAGCCATGTACTCTTGTGCCTTTTTTCTTTCTTCTAAATATGCATCCATAATATCCTTCCTGAAATAATGTTCCAAAGATAACCATGATTATTGAAAAATTGAATTTATTTTCAAATAATGCACTGAATAGGGTGCACTGTTACCTTATAGTGTTCCGGGTCATCATCTTGAATAATGGTTGAAGTGCACTCACAAACCTTCTGAAGCCAACATGATCAACAATAGATAAAGGATACTCATGCAGTGTAATCATAGTAGCAAGCTCTTTCCTAGCAACTTCTGGGTCAAATGTATAATTCTCCACAGATACCTTGCCTCCCTCCTTGGAACTAAACCTCAAAGCAGATTGTGCTAGTGTCTTGTTCTTCCCTGCCAACTTGATCTTTCTCAATGTACAGATAGCTAGATGATCATGGAGATGTTTTGTTCCACTTGAACTTTTCCCTGATAGCTTCTTGTGGCAATGAGTGCACTGAGCCTTAACTTCACCCAACACTTTCAGTTTCTTGAACTCTTTCCAAACAGCAGAAGTAAGCTTCCTCTTTGTGCCAAAATCTGTATCCTCCTCAATCACATCATCATCTTCAATTTGTATCGGCTCTGAGTCATTAACAGATTCATGTTGTGCTTGTGATTGGTTGCTACTTCCACTCCCTGGAGATGATGTAAATCTGAAAAATATAAGAGTTTCAAGAATCAAGATATTGGGCATGGTAAATATGAGAAATAAATAAATATCCAAGTACCATAGGCCATAGAGCTTATAACCAGATAGAAAATGTGCATAACAAATAAAAATGTGCATAATAAATAAATAAAAATACACAGACACAGTACTAGGAAATAATAAATTCCAGAGTCTAGACTATGAGCATAACAATTCTAATGTGTGTCAGTTTCCTTAATATTAAAAATAGATTGAGTTATGTAAGTATCACGATTTATTCCCAAGATCTTGAATTAATCCATGGAATTAATAACTGTAAGATATTAAGATCAAGTCCAAAACATTCTGCGAACAGAAGGCAAATAAAAAACTAGTTTCTAGCATTGTCAAGAAATCTGGTTGAGATGTAAAAACATCTGATTTTGAAACTTTGTACAAACAAAGGATAAAACAATGGTCATATTTCCCAAACAAAGGATAAAACAATGGTCATATTTCCCATTTCAGTATTTTTAATAGTTGTGCTTGTCATCAGTAAAATGGCCAGGAAAAAATCAAGCAATTAGTTCGGATGCTCTAAAGCAGATAAATGAAAGTGCATTTATCTCTTTCCATGAAAAGAATTCATGCACAGATATATGGTGTTAGGAACATGGATTCAACTTTTGCAGAGAAAGAAAATCATTTACATACAGTAAAAGAAAATAATTTAATTCAGAAATTACGCAATTTAGTAACAATAATCAACAACTAACACAACAATCATATTCCTGATAAATCACCAAGTGACAATAGTTTCAAATGCATTCACATTGCAAAGCAGCAAATGAAATTACCAAATATTGAAAAGAATTTTGCAAAATATATAAAGAATGTTTTAGCCTTTTAGGTCCTCCAGCTCAAGTGATCAAGGAATTCAACAACTAACACCGACTAAAACTTTTGGAAAATCTTTGATAAATCACCAATGACAATAGTGTCAAATGCATTCACATTGCAAGCAACAAATGAAATTACCAAATATTGAAAAGAATTTTGCAAAATATGTAAAGAATGTTTTAGGTCCTCCAGCTCACACTTTATCTGGAACCCAAGCATGTAAAGCAGAGTTTCAAAAAAAAAAA